CATGTCCTCAAGGGAGATATAGAATTGTCATTTATTGGCACCACTGATCAATTGGTAGACATTTTTACTAAGCTTTTACTTGAAGATAGATTTTGCTTCCTAAGAGAATTGCTTGGCATTATTTCGCTTGGTCATAAAAGTTATGACCTATGTGTTAATTTTAATTCTTGCGTGTCTAATGTTTTCTGTTTTATTTTCTCTGTAAGTATGCATAAATTAAGCGCCTCTGATTTCCCTCTCTTTTCCCATTAGTCTCAGCTTTCAAGAAAGTATATCAATCATCATGACCCTTCACTGACACCCTTTTCTTTCCTGTACTTAACCGTCAAAATCTTTCTTTTTAATCCTCTAAACCATCCTCTCTTGTCTTTATTGTTCTTATCGCTCAGAAACTCTTCTTCAAAATTCTCCAATGGCTAAACACTCCAAGAATCCATCTGCCTCCACAAGAAAAAGTGCTCGTTCTAAGGGAAAACCCTCTTCTCAGCCTCCAAAACAAGTAGACCTAAGGTCTGAGTACTCAGAAGGGTTTGCCTCTTCTCAGGCTGAACCATCTGACCACTCTCACCGAATAGGAGAAAAAGCTCTTGGCAAAAGGCCCATGGAAGACCCCCTTGAATCTTTTACCCCCAAGAAATCCAAAGTAGACCTCTCGAGTTCTCTAGAGTCCGACATCAATTTGTGGGATACCCCAAGTAGGGATTTCTTTGTTGCTCTCAAAGACAAACCTATTGCTCACGGAAGAGTAATCGATCTTGATGACATGGAGGCCCTCAATTGTAAGGTAAAGGGGTTGTTTGTTTTTCAGGGATGGTCTAAATTCCTCTTTGTACCCCCTCCCAAAGTTTATGAACCTTTAGTGAGGATGTTCTATGCTAATCTTCGTTCTAGCAAGCCTGATAAGTTAGAATCCCTAGTTCTAAGAAAATGCATTATCCTTGATTGTGCCATATTTGACTCAGTTTTTCAGTGTAAGTGCTCTGGCTTTCCCATGCTTTTCAAAAATACTTGGCCTGATGACTTTGAAATTTCTTTTGATCAAGCAAAATATTGTATTGCTGAGTGTCCATCTGGTTTCCTTCCTAACCAGTTAGTTCCCAGTGATGTTAGTTTCGAAGCCCGAGTTCTGGCCCACATTGTTGCAACTACCCTTCTTCCTCGCACTGGCTCATTCTCCACCTTCTCTCAACGAGACACCTTTCTTGTCTACTATCTTATGACCAAACTTAAGGTTAAACTATCCTCATGGCTCATAAACTTCATGATTAAAAGTGCTGATGATCCCACCAGTCTACCCTATGGTATGGCTATCACCCATATCTTGGAAGCCCACAACATCTCTATCTTAGAATACCCCTTTGTTTCTATTTCAAAGTCCTACAACTCTAGAGCCTCTGCCAGCATGGGGTATGTGTGTACTAAGGGTTCCTGGGTAAAGAAAAAGGAAGGTGAAGTCAAGAATGTTCATCCTGATTCTAAGATCAAAGCCTCTATTTCCCATCATAGTGTAAGTGATCGTGATCTTGTAGAAAAATTGACTGTTATTGACAACAAGCTGACTATCATCAAGGACCTTCTTGCTGCAACTCAATCAACGATTGGGTACATCCATGCCATCTCCAAAGAGACTGGGTCCGATGTTTCAAAGATAAGGGTCAAAATTCTTAAACTTGCAGAAAACGCAGTCAAAGCCTTTAAGGAAATACATGACAGGATTGATGGGGTGACAGTTTTAGCTAATGCCAGCTTTGAGCATCTAAAGAAGGCGATTTGCAACACTCTCACTTATTTCTTGCGTCGTTAGTTGTGGATGTTTCAGACATTTTTTTTCGCCATTTTGCTGTTTTGGACTGGATAACCAGTCGCTGGATACTTTTGCTAAACTCTACATGCCTATAATTTGCAAATATTTGCCTATGGTATGCCTGTTTCTACTTAATTTCAACTGTTTATATGCATTGCTGATACCAAAAAGGGGGAGAAAAGATAGTCATACATTGCAGGACAAATAGCAGCACCTGTGGAAGGGGAGTCGACTGAAGCACATGCACCACTTGTTAAGGGGGAGCCGACTACAGCAGAGCAAGCCAACAAGGAAGTAAACTGCTATATACATAAATATAAATATATATATATATATATATATATATATATATATATATATTATTTTTGTCATTCTCAAAAAGGGAGAGATTGTTAAATATGAGTTTCAATGATGAAAAAATAATATATCACGTTTGGTGCAGGATCACAAGGGATAAAACAAAGAAATCAAGATTCCCTATCATTCAAGCATGGACTAAGTAAACAATCTATCAACGGAAGCAAAGGAAAGAAAAAGTATCAATGACTAGCTATAAAAAATGAAGCAGCAACAAAAATTCAGAACAAGAATCAATTAATGATTTGATAGATGATTGACGGAAGCTAGAATAGGAAGGTCCCAAAATCAAAGTAAAATAAGAGTGCAAAGCTCTACACTCGAGATCGTTAAAGCCCGAAATCAGGGGATCCATCATCAATCACTCAAGTGACGGAAAGATCTGACCGGTAGAAGAAAGCCTATCAAGGACATAAGTCAATGAAGATCAACGGAAACCTGACCTTATTTTTGGAAAGAATCAATTTGCGATTTGGTTCAAGGATCAATTCCCTTGGGTTTGTAATCTCTCAAGATTCGCGTCAATCAAGAGTCAAGAAGGCCTCACAAAGTGTATGTACATCTGTTCCGGGCTTGAAGCAGCTATACTTTGAACGAACCATTATCACCACTCCAAACAAGTTGTGTAATTAGTGAGAGAAGAAAAAAAGGTAAATACTGGTGAGACATTGTATCAAGAAGGGAAAAGTAACATAGAGACTAAGTTGTTGGTGTAAAGCTACATCAACCATCTTGTACTCGAGAAGCTTCAAATGCTGAAAGAGATCACCCTTGCAACCAAACGGGACTGGACGTAGGATTCCTATTGAATTCGAACCAGTATAAAAATCCTGGTGTCTTTTATTTCCTGCATTTTATTTCTGCATTATTATTTATAACGACCCGGCCGGTCATTTTGAGAGTTGTAGCCCTGTTCCCCTATTTACTGCTTATTTTGTACTTTATATCTGCTATGTGACTTGTCGGGGTAATCGCTTCGGGGCCGGAAGGATTTCGGAGTGAATTGAGATACTTAGTCTCATAATGGAAAGCTTAAGTTGAAAAGGTTGACCGGATATTGACTTATGTGTAAACGACTTCGAAATCGAGTTTTGATGGTTCTGTTAGCTCTTTGGGTGATTTTGGACTTAAGAGCATGTCCGGATTGTGATTTAGAGGTCCGTAGTCAAAATAGGCTTGAAATGGCGAAAGTTGGATTTTTGGAGAGTTCGACCGGGAGTGGACTTTTTGATATCGGGGTCGGATTGGATTTTCGGAAGTTGGAGTAGGTTCGTGGTGTCATTTGTGACTTGTGTGCAAAATTTGAGGTCAATCGGACGTGATATGATAGGTTTCGGTGCTGTTTGTAGAATTTGGAAGTTTAAAGTTCATTAGGCTTGAATCTTTGTGCGATTCGCATTTTTTGGTGTTATTTGAGGTGATTTGAAGGCTCGACTAAGTTCGTATCATGGGCCCTACCCAGTACTGAGTGATTGATGGTCAGTTGATGTATATATTCCGGGTTGGATCTTCCATGTGCCTGATTGGCCATATACAATACTGAGTGATTGGAAATTTCGAGAGTGTGAGCACATGAGGCTGTCAGCATGGTGCATCACATATAACATGTGCATTGGCATGTAGAAGTATAGGAGTTATATTCTTCATATCATTCAGATTTGATCTATCTTACTATATTGGGTTTAACTGTTGAACTTGAAAGCATGTCTATGTTTCTGCACTACTATTTCTATATTGAACTGTGTCGGTTGAGATCGTCACTACTTTCAGTCTAAATCTTGGATTTGTTACTTATTGAGTTGGTTGTACTCACCCTACACCCTGCACCTCGTATGCAGATCCAGGTGTTTCCGATCACGGCGGCTGCTGAGTGTGGAGTCAGGATCGTTGGAGACTATTGAGGTAGCTGCATGGCGTTCGTTGACCTTGACTCTCCTTCTTTATCTTTACTAATATTTCAGTTCTTATTCCTTTAATGTTGTAGCAGACTATATCCCTGTATAGATGCTCATGTACTCTGTGACACCCTAGTTTTGGGAGAGTTTGTATATTGAGTTACGAATGTTATTCTGCTTTTTAAAAGGTTTTTCCTAAATATTATCTGTTTTTTCCCGTATTTTCAAAGCTTTTGATGTATTGAAATGGTTGAGTAGTTGGCTTGCCTAGTTTCACGATAGGCGCCATCACGACGGGTTGGTTTTGGGTCGTGACATTATTATTCTGTTCTTATCTCTAGTCGACTAATCAGTAAACTAGTAAACTACTTAGAGTATTGAAAATAAAAATCGTCAATTCACCCCTCTTACCCTCTTGTACTTTCACAATCAACTGAAACTGGGAAAAGAAAAAACATGCTCCAGCCTCCAACTTTCAGTGGGGCAGAGTCGGAGGATGACCAGGGTTTCTTGGACAAGTGTCAGCGGATTCTTCGTACATCATGTATACTGGAGACTAGTGGGTCTCGTTCACTACTTTTCAATTTTCTGGGGCTGCCTTTAGTTGATGGGAGGCTTATGAGAGGCGCAGGTTGGTTGGTGCAGCACTACTTACTTGGCAGGAGTTCTCCGTACTCTTCTTGGAGAAGTTTGTGTCGCAGTCCTGCAGGGAGGAGCTGCGCAGACAGTTTGAGCAGCTTCGTCAGCATGGCATGTCCGGGATGCAGTACGAGATGAGGTTTTCTGAGTTGGCTCGTCACACAGTTTGGTTGGTTCCCACTGATAGGGAGAGGATTAGGAGGTTCATTGATGGCCTCACATATCAGCTGCGGTTGCTCATGACTAGGGAGAGGGTATCTGGTGCTACTTTTGATGAGGTGGTCGACATTGCTCGTCAGATAGAGATGGTCTGCAGTCAAGAGCATGGTGAGAGGGAAGCCGAGAGGCCTCGTGGATCAGGTGGTTTTAGTGGTGTTCCTTCCGAGGGTCAGTTCTACCATAGCAGGGGACGTCCTTATAGGCACGCCCAAACGGCTCATCCAGTTCACCGTGGTTTATCATCCGGCCATGGTTCATACAGTGCACATCAGGGTCACTCATCTCCCAGTGCCCTTCCAACTCAAAGTTCGTCTCGTGCACCATCAACTCAGGATTCATCTGTACCGGGTCCTTCTGATAGTTATTCTGGTTCTCGGGGTGCGTCTCAGTACTCACCGCCATTCATTGGGAGAGATTGTTTTGAGTGTGGAGAATTGGGTCATATCAAGAGGCATTGTCCCCGCCTCTTGGGAGGTCCAGCTCAGCAGAGGAGTCAACCTACAACTTCAGCATCGGTTACTTCACCACCTGCCCAACCATCTGGGGGAGGAGCTCAGGCCGCTAGTGTCGCGCCCCCTTTTATCCCTCCTCTCGCGGGGAGAAGTCCGGGTTTCGACATTCACGGGGTGTAATGACTCATTTCCTTTTTGGGAATTGGGTATTTGAAGAGTCGCCACCTAACAGATTATGGTGCGTTAGGGCACCTAGAGCGATTAACTCTTGGGTTGGTTTGCATTACCAGAGATTAGGGTAAGGGCTCGAAATAACCTCGAGGGGAAGGTGTTAGGCACCCCTCTTGGTCCACAACTGTGGGTCCTGGCCGAACTTATATTCACACATTAGTCCATAAATAAACAATTGAAGCATATAATTGCAAGTAGAGCATGTTGGGCATTGTATAAAATAGGAATTTAAACAGGTTGTAGAAAAAAAAAGAAAATAGAGTTTCAAGCAAAGAGAATTTGGGGAGAGGGAGGTCCTAGGTTGGTTATCCTATAGGTTCACATCAGTACAATGCCCGGTAATCACTCCTTAGAAAGGGGCTACGCGTGGCATTAGCGCACCGGTCATCATATCCATATCTACCCTTCCCATCCCCTTAGTGGTCATGCAAAGCGAGTGTTGGTCAATGATCTCTATTGCGTGCTGCTACCCGTCCCTTCTTAATGGTCCTGGAGGGAGTTAGGACCTCTACCTATAGGTGATTCTAGATGTACCCCTAAGGTTTTAAAAGGGCAAAATTCTAAGGCGACGGTCAAAACATGTAGGACTTTACACATAATGGAAGCAGATAAGAGGCTCAAAATTTCCTCCTCAAGTAAACATACAAGCAGCACGACTCAAACAAAGTTAAGGTCTTTATCAATCAAAGTCCTAAAGCAGGATCTCTAGGTGACCATGCAGAAACCAACAAACCCTTTTAGGTTCAGAAATTATACCCTAGCAGTTGCCTAAGGACTCTTTTAAAAGTTATTAGAATCAGAAACATTAAACGATAGAGAGAGAGCTTCAGGGGAATGCAGTTTTGAAAATGCCCTAAGGCTTGCCTATATGCAGTATACTGTGTCTGTATTAATGCAGAAACAATAGGTTTTCGAGATAGACTCCTTTAATACCTATAAACATGATATCTAATGGGATCGATGCAATTTTGAAAGAACTTGTTTCAGAAAATGTTAACGCTTAGTAAGACCAGCTTTAGAAATGAACTAGGCGTAATGAAATTGATTTATTAGGCCGAATTAAATTACCAGACAGAATTGCTGGTATAGATCCCTATAGGCATGATATCTAGGAGTATTACTGATTTTAGTCGATTTGCAGCAACATACAGAAAAACTTATTAAAACTGAATCGGAGTTGAGTCCTATAGGCATGGCATCTACTGATTTAAGACATGATGGTTTGGAGCCTATGAACATGGTTTTTAATATGACAAAATGCAGAACCTTAGGAACATGATTTCTACTGATGCAAACGAAATTAGAAGTGAGATCCTATAGACATGATTCCTATTAGGCAAAGCAATCAAATTTAAAAGCATAAATCCCTATGAGCATGTTTTCTATTGAGTAAAGCAGGCATATTTTAAAAGTGAGATCCTAAGAGCAGGATTTCTACCCATATTACCCCATAAAGTATACATCTACCCGCCCTTTTTACTAGATGCCCCAAATATCTGTTTACAAATTATTACAGTCTAATGAATGAATTACATAAGTAAAATAGAAAATCAAGAAGCTATTCTATAGGGAGCCTTCAATTAGGCCCGAGTTTCCCAAAGCCTCCAATGGTCTCATAAACCTCAATTCCATAGACAAATCAGAGTCTAGGTGCATCAAAGTTCCCTAAGGGCCTCAAGAACCCCGGGCAATGCTTACACCTAGACTTAGCAACCAAGAATTGAACCAGTGCAGTGTGGAAAGGCCAGCCTCAGTATGCTAGAGTTCAAAGGGCTCTCAAGAGGATCCCAAGGCAGTACACATACTAGAGGGGGCAGAACTTATTGACTAAGAGAAAAGTGGAAGTGCAAGACACAAGTTGAAAAGGGTTATTAAAGACTGTATTGGAAAGTCTGTTTTGAAAGCAATTAGTAAAGCAACAAAGATTGTTTGAAAATAGGTTGGAGTAGTAAACAAGATTAAACACCTTAAGAAAAGATCACACACAGCTAGTTTACAGAATTCAGCAGTCATACAGGGGTCAAGGGGTTGGGGATACATAGACATTTGGCTGCACAACCCAGCAAAGATCTTAAGATTGGTTTGGACATGCTCAGAGATAGTTGACTCTGGCATAATCACACACTAGTCAGGAGAATACAAACACATAGAAGGGGTGATAAGGATTTGGGGATTCATAGGATGGTAAGCACACAAGAAGTAAAGAAAACTGTCAAGGCATGCTTTGAAACACATAAGGGAATACATTGATCTAAAGGGAAGGGGAGACATAGTAGCATGCTGATAATGTAACTTAACTACAAATTTTACAACAAAACCACAAGTAGAAGCAAGCTAGAAATAAAAGAAACTGAAATAATAAGAGAAACATATTGTTGTTGGAGCTTTAAATCAAAACCAAGACATACCAGTGAAGGTAGAAGTAAGCAGAATGAAAGAACCAAAGAACACAGATGATTAGCCTTGTCTTGCAGCCGGCTAATAGCAGCAAGTAGCACAAGAGAGAGGGAGAACAGAGATTTTTAGTAAGAGGAGTAGTTTTTGAAAACCAAGTGTTCGTCTCTGTTAATGAAAGACTTAGGGTATTTATAGTTTTGAAAATAGGCAGAAAATAAGGTAACAAGTAAAGGTTTAGCACAATTATGGAAGTAATCACAATTAGAATCCAATTAATACAAGTACTCCCCTTTAATCAAGGAATCACAGCTTAAACGGATACCAATAGGGATAATCAAGGAAAGAAAATCAGTTGAGAAGACTGATTTTTACCATATAAAGGATAGTAAAAGTATAGAGAATATGACTGATTCTAAGTACAGAATATACTAATTAAGGAAAGGATTCAGTAAGAGTGAAGTACCACAGCAAATAAGGAAACGGAATCAGTCAATTTAAACAGACGAGTAGAACTTTAGGGTTTTGAAAGAAAATCTTGCAATCAAACCATGAATTAAGGAAATCAGAATCAATCAAAAGGGAGTCATGACTCTGCACTTCAACATATAAATAAAGAAGAACGAACAGGCGTAGCAAACAGGCAAGGTCAGCCATATAGACAGAAAGAAGCAAGAGATGAGCAAACACAATCATACAGAAGTGACATAAGCAGGCTAAAGACTCAGTAGAAAACCCATTCGAAGCATGGTAACCAACAGAAACTTAACAAAATCAAGTAGTCATGCTAACACACAGAACCAAAGCAAAGAAAGGTCTTAAAAGTTAGGGCTTTTAACAGAGTCGAGTTAAAAATAGTAGGAACATAGGATCAGTCCAAATAAGCAATGAAAGAGGTTTAATCATAAAGAAAATCGATTAAAACAAGCGTAGAAGGAACTCCGAGAAAACCCTATTTGTTAAAGAAGGCAAAATGGTTTAAAAATTGAGGATCTTTCAGAAGAAGTTCGAGAATAGTGCAAATCATAGGAAGAAACAGACTTAAAGCATTAAAAATAACACAGATCTAAGAGATTCAAATGAAAGTTAGGGTTTCAAAAGGAAACCCAAATAGAAACGAGAGAACCTGTTGCAAAACTCCATAAATCGTAACATATATGGTGCGATTTTGCCCAAAATCACACCAGAGAAGCCACGAATGACAGAAATAGAAACCTTAGGTCCAAATCGGCATGGCCCAGGACCCTTGAAGGCCTCAGAGATGATGAGCAAGGCGATGAGAGACCCATTGGAGGCTTGGGGTTGAAAGGTGGTCGTTGGAGAAGAAGGTCGGCGGTTGAAAGCTAGGGTTAGGTTGAGAGTGTTTGAGAGCAGAGAGGATTTCAGGGCGGCGGGGTTTTGGAAATGAGTAGGGTTAGGGGGTCGTTTAGGAATTAAAAGGAAAGGGCGTGTGTGGACCGTTGATCTGGGAGATCAACGGTCAGGATTCAACCGGGTAGGTGGGTTCCGGGTTTGGGTAAGGGTTTATAGGGTCTGGGTCGGGTTATTTAATAGGAAATTGGGCTGGGGATTGGGTCCAATTTGGGCTGCAATTGAAAGCCAAATTTGGCTATGATTTAAATAGCCAATTTTTCCTATTTTAATTTATAATAAATAGTAGATAATTTCTGAAAAATAATTTAAGGTGCCAAAATGATTTAAAATACATAATTAACTTTTTAAAAATATAGGGACCAATTTTATGCATATAAAATATAATTATTCCTTAAAATGGGCTCACATTGCAATTATATGCAATTTAGCTTAAAAAATACTAAATGTAATTATAAAAATGTATAAAAAATATATTAGCCATATTTTGACATAAGTATAGAAATTAAATGAGTAAATCATCATAACAATAATTTGGAAAATATTTATTGGGGATTTTGTGAATAAAAGGAAAAAAAATAAATCAATTTATACCCTTAAAATTATGAAAATAATAAAAGCCTTGTGCATGCTTATATATGCATATATATGCTATTTTGAAGGTATTTATGCATATTTAAAATATATAGGGAAAAATTGGGTATCAACAGCTAGGGGTTGCCCTAGAGGGGGAGGCCGATCAGGTGGATGTCAGGCCCGGTTCTATGCTCTTCCTGCCAGACCAGATGTCATGGCTTCAGACATAGTGATCACAGGTATTGTCTCAGTATGCCACAGGAATGCCTCTGTATTATTTGACCCCGGTTCCACTTATTCATATGTATCATCATATTTTGCTCATTATCTGGATATGCCCCATGAGTCCTTAGTTTCATTTGTTCATGTCTCTACGACCGTGGGCGAAACTATTATTGTGGACCATGTATATCGGTCGTGTGTAGTGACTATTGGGGGATTGGAGACTAGATTTGATCTCTTATTTCTTAGTATGATGGACTTTGACATGATTTTGGGTATGGATTAGTTGTCTCCATGTCATGCTGTTCTAGATTGTCACGCTAAGACCGTGACGTTGGCAATGCCGAGGGTTGCCAAGGAATG